CTTGTAGCCACATCACTTCCGCCTCTGCCTCCGTGGCCACTTCCCGTCCTCCTCTTCTGTCTGTCACATCTCCCTCTGCCTCTCTCTTATAAGGACACATTGGATTTAGGGCCCACCTAGGTGATCCTGGATAAACCTTTCCTCTCAAAATCCTTAACCACTTCTTTTGCCATATATGGTAATAGTCGCTCTTTTTATCATATAAGGCGATATAGATTCCAGGGATTAGGACATAGACGTGGACACCTTTTCGAGGCCACCATTCAGTCCCTACACACAGTCAGTGTGAAATGAAGAGAGGTGGTCCCAAGACTGAGCTCTGGGGTGCTGCAGTGTCCAGAGGCCAGGAAGAGAACACAGAGCCAGGGACAGAAACGGAAGGGAGGTGGAGGACAAGAAGGAGAGTGCGAGTGGGGTATCTGAATAGGGATGTGTGTCAGTAAGGAGGAGGTGACTAGCTGGGGAGAAGGCTGCCGAGTGACGCAGAAAATGAGGACCGAGCATTGATTGTTAGACTGGGGAACTTGATAAACTTGCTAAATTGTGTTTCAGAGAGTGCACACTCGTATCTGTTGTAGTCCTTAATGGCGAATCCAACTTCCCGTGGGTTATTATTGTCTCGTTTTGGCTGTAGGTTCAGTGATTGGCCACGTGCTTCAATGTGAAAAGTTATTTCATGATATATTTCTTTTCTTCTTCTCTATTTGAAGTTCTATGTATGTATTGTGTCAGTAACTTTGTTTCTTCAAACTGTTATAAGCTTATGGTACAAATTTTGGAAATTGTAATAAGAAAAATATTAAAGTTATTTAACTTTAAATTGCATCTAAAGTGCTGCCATTTTGGGGTGACTCTTTTATTTGCCCTTTTAAAAATTGGGCTGTAAGGCTTTTTTTTTATATATATATAAATTTTACTGAATTAAGGATATGATTGTTTAGGAGTAGGTAAGGAAATGTGGCCTAGAATGTCACCTTATGGTTTTTTGGTTTGGGTCTAGCTGATATGAATGGCTGGGCAAGTGACCCGCCACAAAGCTGAGCAGTATGTTAAAGAAGAGAGAGTGCTTCCCACATAGAAAGTGAGGGACATGCAGGTAGATCCATTCCACTTGTAGAACACCCAAAAGACTTGGAAACATCTTTCAAAGGCCAGTGTTCACAGTTTGTCTCCTTTGTCCATGACACATTCATAGAGAGGAAACCTTACTCAGATTAAGAAGAAGGAAGTGATAAAAAAAAAACCCCAAAAACAAACAAACAAACAAAAACCCAAAAAAACCAAACACCTCTTAAAATCTCAGAAAGCTAATAATAGAATCGGGAAGATCTTAATATCATATTGATAATTTGCATTTTCACAATGACACAATCAAACTATTGAAAGATCAGACACAGAGAGAAGAGTTCTAAGGTGGAGTAAGTGTAAAGTAAAAATCATTGGATTCATCTCTGTCTAAAACACATAAACCGAGATTGGCACAAGGAGCTCAGAGGCGGCACTGAAGTGCAGTACTGTGGCTCAGAGAGTAGATTTGGAGATAAAATCCTCCTGAGATCGCCTTTCCCTACCCAATCAGCACTGTAAGATTGTGATCATATAGTTTTACCAGGTGGTTCTTGCTTTGATTTACACAACTATCTCTAGAGAAAGGGCCCACTGAATTTATTTTCTAATCCAGATTTCCTCTTGAAGCTTCAACAAGGCCCTTTCCATTTTCTATTAGTCAAGTTGCCCCTAAATTTTATGAGTCAGTCCATGGATATTGGAAAATATAAATCTCATGGAAATGGCAAGTTAATTCTAGGCATTCAAGACCCAGTATTAGTAGGCGGAATATGTTAGGGAATACTACGTCAATATTTTTAGGGATTTCAGTAAAAACAAGAAGAAATACATTCTTACTTTTATGAGTCATAAACTCAGAATATGAACTGCTAACAAATTGAGATCTGTACTCTTATCCCACGTTTGACTTGTTATATTTTGCTTTGCCAAAAGTCTAGATGAAATAAAGGTCTGGAAAGGGGAAATAAGAAAACTTGTTTTATATAAACGGAATCACTTGTTAATATGTATTATTAAAAGCTGAGAATGAATTTTAGAATTTAAAGTTCATTGTATTTGTCTTTCCATCAATGTATAGTTATTGAGAATACCATATGGTTTTGGAAGATATATTTGGTGTCTTTGGGAACTTAAGGCTACTAAATTATTAACAGCTGTTAGAATGGAATGGACCAAATGCACTTGGAGTTAAGTTCTTTGTGGTGGGGAAATTTGTGGGTTTCTTGGGTAAACCCATCTAATGAGAAGAATAACTCACAAATACATTAGCTGGTTGCACAAGATGAATAATTTTTCCAGAAAATATGAGAAAGACAAGAGCAAAGATAAAAGGCTATATCATCAGTTGAAAAAAATAGATAATTAAAGAGGGAAAATAATACTGCCAATTGGTAAGAGTTTCATCATGCCTAGGGGTTTCTCAGCATAGGCACTACTGACATTTTGGGCCAGATAATTCTTTGTTGTGGAGTCTGTCCCGTGCATTGTAGGATGTTTAGCATCTCAGGCTTCAAACCACTTGATGCCAGTAGAACACCCTTTGCATCTGCAACAACTAGAAATGTTTCCAGACATAGACCACTGTCTTCTTGGAGGTAAACGTGCCCCTGGTTAAGAACCGTTGAGCTAGACTATACAAATAGCTCCCAAAGTCCCATTCTAGTGACATACTCAAGATAGAACAGGATGAAGGGGCAGGCTTATTGAGAACTTTGGTTGTCAAACATGTTATTGGGATGGGGTATCATTTGGGAAGCATGTAATTAAGGTGTGGCTCCTGCATATATATCTTACTGATGAAAAGTCAATTTTTTTTCAATCTAGAGTTAAATGACTATAATAGTACTAACAGTGTAGGTGACAAGATTATAAAAAGCCTTACAGAAATATGCAGGGCTGCCAGAGTTATTTCCCAAAACTGAATCTGTAGTAGGATGGCACTGGGGAGATTTTTCTGGATATAAATTTCCACTTGCTTAAATTTCACCACACAGTAGAGGCTACTTGGACGCTCACATAATCTCATACGCTTGTCCTCATTTGTTCTAGACTAAATGGCATTTATGTCAGAGACTATTCGCATTCACCAAACAACCTCATGATCCTCTGTCTTTACCAGCCTCCCTGGAGGTAACTAGTTCCATCCTGGGATATGTGAGCTGAGCTTAACTTCTGGGCTGAGGAATTTAAGAGCCAGAGTGCCTCTTACATACCTCTCTTCCCCTATCATAGCAGCTTTGCGGGCCTTGCCAATATGTGTCTTTGTGAACCAAAGAAATAGCTGCTGCTTTTTTTTTTTTCCATTGTCTCTGTTTTCTCTTGTTTTTTGATATGTTTATTAATTGGATGCTGGACTTTCTGAATTGATCTGCTTAATTCTCTTTTATTTCTTCCAAGTGCTATCATTTTATCTATTTTTCTGCTGTCTGTAGCCCAGTTGGAACTTGATCACGTGGTATAGAAGGTTCACCTAAGACTCAGGAGCACAGGGATTGGTCGCAGTTGCCTTTGTTCACATCAGTGATCTGCTGGTGAGAAAGCCACATGCATGTGAGGTGAACTGGAAAGGTGCACTGGAAAGGTGCTGCCCATGATCTAGCACATTCTGCTTTGGAAGAAGGCCAGGAGGTTGGGGGTGCTTTTTTCAGTACATAAAGGATGAAATGACAGGCTTCAGACTTGGGAGGCAGTACGTATATCATGGTCATTAAGAGCACATCCTCTGCTGCCAACTGCCTGGATATGAATTTCAGTCTTGACATTTATTAGCTGTGTGATCTTTGGCAAGTTCCATAAACTCTCTGAGCCTGACTTTTCTGATCTTTAAAATGAATATTTGTAGGTATAGGTTGAAAGTATGTAATATATGTTAAGCTTTTAGAAGAGTACCTTTTCTGTAATGTATAATCCTTCCCTCCCTCCTTCCTTCCTCTCTCTCTTTTTCTCCCTCCCTCCTTCCCTTCATTTCTTCCTTATCTTCCCTTAAAGTGTTTCTTTTATTATAAGTGCTATGTAGATGCTGTTACTATTAACTGGGTCATGAATCAAGGGCATTAGAATGAGCCTAAGAGCTCAAGAATTGTTTGAGTTCAATAGAGCCTGTTAGATTTCTCACTGTATATTCCCACAGTTAGTATGAATAAGTTAAGTGCTTTCATAATTCCAGTTGCTCCATATTTTCCACCAGGCACAGGACTGCTGCTAACATAAATGATACTTATGGGCAAAGAAAAAGGTGCCCTTTCTCTGGGCATGTCAGTGTTTGTGCCTGTTTTGGCAAGCAGAGCATGGGCTGGATTTCATCCAGCTGCTAAAAGTGCTCCTGCAGGCACCTGCAGACTTGATACTGCACAACTGTGCAGGGCCCTGACTGAGGCATTTCTCCTAGAAGAAACCCTCACACTCCAGGGTGCATTCTGTCACTGGGATTGGATTTCTAGTAATGGCCATTTATTGCCTGGATTTCTTTGCCCTTCCCTTGCTACTGTCAAAGAAAGGATGGGGGTGGCACAGCCAGCCCATCACTAGAAGACCTAGGAATGAGAGGGAATCAACAGCAACATTGTCAAGTCTGTAACCCTGTGGGTGTTTGTAAACCCTTGAGACTGGTTGAGATCACTTAGGTATAGTGAACAGAATAAGAGGACAGAAGGACTCAGGGCTGAGCCCTAAGGACCTCAAACTTTCAGAGATCACCTGAAAGTATGGTAGTGGGCAAAGGGGATTGAAAAGGAAAACCTACAAGGGAGAAGGAAAATAAAGGAGGAGTAGTCACAGAAGGTAAGAGAGAAGAGAGATGAAAAACCAAAGCCTATACTTTGTGAATAGCTATGGGGGTGACTTGGTTGTGCAAATCATTATAATAATTCTTGGCCAACTGCAAGGTAATGCTAGCATTTCTATTTCTCCCTGATCAACTTCCTGTCTTGTAGGTTAAAGCCTCTGATGCAGATGCAGGGCTCTATGGCTTTGTTGAGTATTCGATCTATGATGGATTCCAAAGTTATGAAGCACCTCAAGCATTCTGGATCGACCCTCATGATGGACAAATCTGTGTTTCTAAAGATATCGACAGGGAAAGGGATCCAGCCATCTATGATCTCCTGGTGAAAGCTAAGGATGGGGTAAGTCTTTATGTATGAAATTTATTTCAAGCATACTCAAAAGTGAGCCAGTATGTACATATCACAGAGTACCTATGACCATGAACAATTGGCTGATTTTGTTTTTTATATAATCACCTCTTTCTTTTGCTGAAGTTTTTTGAAGCAAATACCAGGCACCATATCATTTCATCCAAAAATCATTCAATAATATCTCTAACAGATAATGACTCTTTGAAAGTGTAACTACAAAATATTAGCAGCAATACTTTAATAATACCTAATGTCCATTCTATGTTAAATGTTCTGTGTTATCTAAACATGTCTTTTATTAATTGGTTTGTTTGAATCAAGATCCAAATAAATCCATAAATTGATTTGATTGATATATCCCTTAAGTTTTAATCTATAACAACCAGGCCTCATACCTTTTCTCCTATGGCATATAAAAAAAAATAAATGAAGTCATTTGTCTTGTACATTTTCCACATACTGAATGTAGCTGATTACATCCTTGGGATTAATTTAATGTGTTCTTCTATGTCTTTTATTTCCTATAAACCTGATTAGTTTCAGGTTCATTTAGGTGATGCCACGTGCCTCTTTTTGTATCAGCAGACACATACTATTACATCATTAGAGATTGCAAAATGGCGATTTTCTAATTCCATTACCCCTTTTGCATTTATCACCTGGAATTCTTTGACTAAGACAAATGTTCTTATACCAACTATTTGGTTACCCTGAAATATAATTCATATAGGAAATGCAGGATAATGATTGATTCTTTGTCTTTATTTTATCTGTATTTTGAATAGTGAGTCAGTACCTTAACAATCTCCCAGGATGACAAGTAATTTTGTTCTCCAATTTGATCATAAATCCCTGGATTTTTATATGTTTGATATGTTTGAATACATCACAGACCCTGTCATTTCTGATGTTCACATGGACCCGTCCTTGGTCAGTGGAGTCATCTACAGTTTGGTTCCTACATCCTTTTTGTTGTTAACGTTGTAAATTGATATATAAAATGCATACAGAGATGGTCATAAATCATAAGTGCATAGCTCAATGGATTTTTGCATCATAAACAGAGCCATGGTACTGGTATACATGTAGAGACATAGATCAATGGAACAGAATAGAGAATCCAGAAATAAAACCACATAGCTACAACCAACTGATATTTGACAAAGCAGACAACAGCATACACTGGGGAAAGGATGCCCTATTCAGTAAATGGTGCTGGGAAAACTGGATAGCCACCCAGGCGCGGTGGCTCACTCCTGTAATTCTAGCACTCTGGGAGGCTGAGGCAGGTGGATTGCTCGAGGTCAGGAGTTCAAAACTAGCCTAAGCAAGAGTGAGAGCCCATCTCCACTATAAATAGAAAGAAATTAATTGGCCAACTAATATATATAGAAAAAATTAGCCGGGCATGGTGGCGCATGCCTGTAGTCCCAGCTACTTGGGAGGCTGAGGCAAAAGGATTGCTTGAGCCCAGGAGTTTGAGGTTGCCGTGAGCTAGGCTGACGCCACGGCACTCACTCTAGCCTGGGCAACAAAGCAAGACTCTGTCTCAAAAAAAAACCAAAACCAAAACTGGATAGCCATATGCAGAAGAATGAAACATATAAAAAATTAATTCAAGATGGATAAAACTTAAATGTAAGGCATGAAACCATAAAAATTCTAGAAGAAACATAGGAAAAACTCTTTTGGACATCAGCCTAGGTAAATAATTTATGACTAAAACCCCAAAGGCAAATACAGCAACAACAAGAATAAATAAATGGGATTTAATTAAATTAAAAGCTCTGCAAAGCAAAGGAAATAATTAGCAAAGTAAATACAGAAGCTACAGAATGGGAGAAAACATCCACAAACTATACATCTGACACAAGGCTAATATCCAGAATCTACAAAGTACTCAAACAACTCAACAAGAAAAAAACAAATAATGCCATTAAAAGGTGGGCAAAAGACATGAACTAAAGTTTTTCAAAATAAGATAGACAATGGCCAACAAACATATGAAAAAAATGCTCAATATCTTTAATCATCAGGGAAATGCAAATTAAAACCACAATGAGATACCGCCTTACCCCTGTCAGAATGGCCATTATTAAAAAGTTAAAAAGCTATAAATGCTGGCATGGATGCAGAGAGACATGAAGTTTATACACTGTTGGTGGGACTGCAAATTAGTACAACCTCTATGGAAAACAGTATGGAGATTCCTCATAGAAATAAATGTAGACTTACCGTTTGATGCCACAATCTCACTACTGGGTATCTACCCAAAAGAAAAGAAGTCATTTTATCAAAGAGACACCTGCACTTGAATGTTTATCACAGCACAATGCACAATCACAAAGATATGAATTTTTTTTGAATGCTGCTTCTCTTGGCTTTGGTAATGATACAACTTAGGTTTTTTTCCCCCTTTATAAGCTATAACCCCATTTCCTTCACTTTTCTTCATTGAACCATGAAATATAGACCCAGAAAGCTCACTAGAATGAAATTATGTCTCACAAGAGTTAAACGGGTATTAATATTATTCTACTCAGGTGTCCCAGAAGATAAGAACAAAGAGAATGGAAAGTAGACAATCACCAAAGTAGAAACAACAGCACAAATTTTTACTTATCTACTGATTACCTTAGGTGACCCTCCTGCCTCCACTATTGTATGCTTTCAAGCTTGAAGCCTTCCCAAACTACTTCTGTCTTTCACAGCATAACTTGAGGGGATTGGGATTCAGGTAGATTAATAGTTTCTCATAATAATTTTAAAAACCAAATGATTAAAATTAAATTAAAATGACTCATGACTTGTTGATGGAAAGAGAAAGGATAAGACAAAATTAGCAAATATTCATGCATAGAATTTATTTACCTATTGTTGCATAACCAATTGTTTTTGAACTTAGCAACTTAAAGTAGCAAACACTATCTCATACACTATTTCTTTTAAGGACCGGAAATCTAGAAGCGGCTTAGCTGGTGGCTCTGACTCAGAGTCTCTCACGAGGCTGCATTTCAGTTTCCATTGTCTGGACAGAAGTTTAGTACACAGCATTGGGAACGGCACATTCCAAGGGGAAGGAGAAAATGAGTTTAGATGCACTTTTCCCACCCTGTGTTCTGTGGGACACTGGTTTCCCCACATGTTCTTTCTGTGGAGGGATCACAGAGGGTTCTGTGATCTAAAAAGAGGGGTGAACACCTCAGCACTCGCCCCCTCTAGAAACGTGGGTGCAAAGGCTCTGTGAGAAGTGCTCAGGCCCATTTGACTTGCTGAAGTCAGCATTTTCTCAACATTTTCACTAAGGGAACTCTCCATTTATTTTTTTTTTTTTAAAGATATACCTCTTTGTTGCTACCCCATGTATCTGTTTCTGAAACCTAGATTTGATCTTGTCACTTCATTACTGATGGCAATAGTTGTCCCATGGAGGGGTTTAGGAAAAATCATTAGAACTTTAATTTTATCCTTTTAAATTTTATTTCTGTGATATTTTTAATAGAAATAATCCATTAGCACAGTAAATGTGTACGCAATTTATTAACAAATAGAAATAAATGTACTGAGGGTGTACACACCACAGTTTTTGCTGCAGAGTCCAACGCTGTGCGGAATGAAGTCTGTCCTCCTTAGCATTTAAATCGTGTGACAGGAATATGTCAAGCCTTTCCTCTCCATCCTACCCAGCCTCTCTCTCTACACACCCACCCTCTTTAGCCCTGCTAGTGTGCTCATCCTTCCTGCAACGTGCCAGAGCCTTTTAAAAAAATATATCATTTCACTTTCTAGGATGTTATTGTCACTGGAAATATCTATCTGTCAAATTTTATTTGTTTTTTGGGACCCAACTCAAAGACCCTTCAGTGCTGAGGTTTGCCTCTGTTTGGTGCTCACAGGTCAGGAGTAGCATGTGTCTGCATCTGAAGTAATACCATGATTTTATCCATAACCCCCAAACTCTCAAAGTGGGTTTTTAAAATTCATATGATAAGAAATCTGACTTGAACTGACTTGAGGTTATTAAGGCTTTTTAATCACTCTAAGTGTGTCTGTTCATACATTTTTGCTGCAGACTAGTAACTGTTTGATTACTTGGTGCTAACCCAGACCCTACTAGGTATATGCATTATATTACCTTTCTAAAACTTGAAAAATTCAGAATTTCAAGACAAATTCATCTGGCCCCAAGTATTCAGGGTAAGGAGCCTGTAAGATCTTACATTTGATAGTTATCAACTATTATAAACGCTTTCCTATATAACATGCCATTCATTTCAACAACAGGCCTGTAAGGCAAGCAGACAGCCCTGTTTACAGAAGAGGTAGCTTGGACTCAGGGGCCAGGTGACCTTCTCTTGGCTGTGGTCCTGGATGTGGACAGAGCCAGGCATTGAGCCCACGTCTTTTGGTTCAAGATTGTTCTGTTGTGCCACAAACCTAGGGGCATAGTGTCTGTCCCACAGACTGTAAGTTCCTTAAAAACAAGGGCCCTCTCTTCCTGTTATTCTCTTAAGATTGAGTCCATGAGAGGCATTCTCCCTGGTACAGTCTGTAAACAAGTCTTATAGGAAAGGCAGAATTTACAGCATAACAAATATTTAAAACTCAAATTTAAAAGAAGTCTCCAATGGCTTTGGGGCCAGGTGGATCATTGTTCCTATTGCAGATCTGCTATTTATAGTCTCACCTTGAGCAAGTCACTTAGCCTGCTTGTGCTTTGGTTTTCTTACCTGTAATAACGGGGGAAGCCATCAAAATCTAAAAAAGGGAGATTGTAACAATTGAAGGAGAAATATACGGAAAACACACTTAACACACACTCATATGTGAGTATTATAAGAGGAAAGTATCCCTTATTTGATAAATTCAGCAGATAAAAAATGAATTTGTTTAAAAGGAATAGTGAGATCTATACTTTTCCTGCAAAAAGATTCTTTGTTCTGTGACAATACATTTTTCACTTTGTCCATCTAACATTTGCTTATTTTTTTTATAGCACTGTCTGATTGAGAATCTTCATGAACTGCCTAGAAATTAGGATTTTTGTTTTTAAAGGTCTGCAGGTGGAGTGTTGTTCATATCTTTGTATCTCCCCCACTTTTTCATTACTTCTCTCTCTCTCTCTCTCTCTCTCTCTTTTTGAGGCAGGGTCTCACTCTTATCTCCTGAGGTAGAGTGCAGTGGCATCATCATAGCTCACTGCAACCTCAAACTCTTGGGCTCAAGATATCCTCTTGCCTCAGCCTCCCGAGTAGCTGAGACTACTCAGGCACATTGTCAGCATGCGCATGACATCATGACGGCTAATTTTTCCATGTTTTTTGTAGAGACAGCTGATCTGGAACTCCTGGCCTCAAGCGATCTTCCCCGAGAGTGCCAGGATTACAGGTGTGAGCCACCATGCCCCCGGCCCATTACTTCTCTTCCCTGCTTTCTTAACTCCCCTTCTCAACCCTAAGTGACTTCTTGAACTTGAGGAGAAATAAAAAGAGAAAGGCAGAAGCGAGGGAAAAGGGAAGGCAACACTGAGTTTGGAGCAACAGCAGGGCCTATGTCAGATGTCATGGAGTATCTTCTAGATGCTCATCCCCAGTCTCAGGTCCCCTCTGCTTACATTGCACCTGGACACTCGCAGGCTATTTAGGTTGGGTGGCGATGTAGGGCCGATCTGCATTCTAAGCATTCAGGCCAGATGGATGAACCTGCCTTGTTTTTATCACAGTCGTAACGTGCCTCCTGCATTTCTCCTAGTCTAGCTGATAACTGGCGTGGCTCTGGCACTTTACTTAGCTCAGAACATGGAAAATCACACAGTTTCTCTCCCTCCATTTCTTGCCAAACCTTCTTCTCCATTGTTCTTTGTCCTTCTTGCTCAGTGTCTCCCTGCCACAGTAGAACAAGGAAAGGAAAAAAAAAAAACAAAAAAAACAGGAGGAGGGGGAGATTAAGGAAGTGAGGAAACCCTGGATGTTGTGACTTACCAAGGCTTTTTGTCAAAGATGAAAGTGCCACGATGTACCAGATAGACATGGAAAATGGTGCCTTAAAGTAGGAACATATGTTTTACTTTAGAAAAATAAAAATTGCAGAGGATTATTTTCTCCTATTTTATTCTCCTTGTTTTTAGATGGAGGCAACGGCAAAGGCACAGTATGGGACCTGCGTCTCACTTCTTTGTGCACTGTAATTCCTTTCTAAAACTTGAAAAATTTGCATTCCAAAGCAAATCTGGCCCTGAGTATTAGGATGAGTACCTTTGCTGCTCCTTTAAGCCCCATTGCTTCTGGTCGTGGTGAGACGAAGAGCCTCCTGTCTGGTCTTGCTCCTGATACCCTGCTGCTCTTCAGTCTGTGCTGAGCACTGCAGCCAGAGCAGCGGCTAAAATATAAGTCAAATCAAATCACATCTGTGCTCAAAACCCGCAGTGGGGAAGAGCCACAGTGGTTCTACAACCCTATAGAGGCCCTGTGACCTGCTGCTGCTTCTCTGATGTCAGCCCTACCTGCCTCTAGCCTGCTGCCCCTGAAAAGGCCAGGGAGATGCACTCACACTGCACTCGTGCCTCAGGGCCTTTGCACCTGCTATTTCCTTGCCCTCTTGTCCTTTTATTCTAGATAACTGAAGTCTAGCCAATAGTACCTGCCTAGTGAGGCTTTCACTGGGACATTCCTCACCAATACTCCCTACCGCTTCCCCTTAGCACTTACCAACATTCATTTTAAAGTTACCTTATGGATAAAAGTGATTTCCATTCCTTTTTAGACATCAGAACAATTTCCCTCGAATACCTTTGGCCTCCACTCTGAAGTTTTTGCCCCACAAGAGCTTTAAGTGGCAATCTCATTAATGCTTAAGAATCATGACTGAAGTATAGATACCATGCTACTACATATGAACTCAGGTCTCAACGTTAAAAGTAAAATGAATATATAGGTGTGTATATGTATACGTATACCTTTTGTTGTTTTAAAAGTCTATTCTAGGATTGTTGTCAGCTACTCTGCATCCCAGTGTTCAGCAGACCCGTTTGTAATCACTGCTCCTTCATCCAACAGGGTGGGCTAAGTGCCCAAGCCTTTGTTCGTGTGGAACTGGAGGACGTGAATGACAATCACCCCATATTTAACCCGTCAACCTATGTGACGAGCATCAGTGCTCAGACCCAGCCAGGCACCGAGATCATCAATGTTCTTGCCACCGACCGGGATTCCGGGGTATATGGAACAGTGGCTTATGAACTTGTTCCGGGAGACCTGTCGTCCCTTTTTACCATTGACTCCACTACAGGTATGTGATCTTGGAGCAGTTTTCGTCCCCTAGCTGTCAAGCTTCTGCTTAGAAGCCAGAAAAACTTAATTTTTTTTTCAGTAACAGAGATGTTGTAGGACTCACTTAACCTTCCAGAAGGCACTGAGGTATATTGAAAATGGTTGGGGTTTTATAGTTAGGTTAGACTCGGATCTGAGTCCCAGCTTTGTCTACTGCTGATTTTGTGATCTTTATTGGCCTCAGTTCCTTACCTAAAAGCAATGCTAATAATGTCTATGTTGCAAAGTTTTTGTGAGGATGAAAGGCAGTAAGTTGTGCAGAAGCAGTTGGCCAGTAGTATTTATTTTGCAGATGTTCATTTCCCTTCATTTGTATGATTGTGCCATCTAAGGAGTCCTTAGCATCATTTCAACATATTAATAGATAAGATTAGTGCAAAGAGATTTGTACTGGTATCCAAAGTAGATCTCTTTCTTTTTACTAGGTCTGGTATTCCCTTAGTCTCTTTGGGTCTTAATTTCCTTGTTTTTAAAATGGTACCTAAAGCTCCTTTTAGTTCTCCACAATGGTAACTGCATATCTGCCAAAGAAGCCCAGTGGGCAAACTGTCTTTTAGAAATAATAAATATTTAAGAAGTTATTTTCCCTTTCCTATGGTTTTTTTTGTTTTTGTTTTTTTTTTTTTTGCTAACAAAATAATGTTTGAAATATTTCCTTTTAATCAAAAGGAAATAGAAAACTTCAAGCATATAATATTACAGTACTTTGGAGATTTGTAGACAGGTTCTGGTCCAAAAATGAGGGTGCAGAAAAAGAAGAAAAATTTTTTTCTTTTACATTTCTTCACTCGATCTGAGCAATGAGTACAATGTGTTTCTGTTGTAATGATGATGATAATGCCAGATATGACACTAGACATTTTCTGTACGTTGTCTTATTGGATCTTCACAACATCCTTTGCAAAGACCATTTGTTTCTATACATTAGACACAAATAACAATTTACACAGGAGGTCTGATCCACTAATTCAGTTTGCCCTCTCACCCAGCCCCATTGGGTATAGTCACTAAGCTTCTGCCTGGAAAATGTGCTTCATCTGGCTCTGCAGCTGGCTGGGGGATTAGTTGTTTATACTGGCAGTCTTTATAAGGCAAAACTTTCCTTGCTCAAAATAATACACTTACATGGCCCCTTTAACATTTCCAAGATCAGAAGAAAATACTTTTGTAGGAAATTAGTCTACTTATCTCAGCCTTTTCAAAATTCATCTTAACAGAAGACCTGAACTGCTTGTCAAATTGTCAGGCCCTCCAGGGCACTAGTGTTGCCAAAAATATATAGGTCAGCCAGTAATCAGGGCACAGGATCTTTAAGCATTTAAAAGATGGATTTTAAAAGACATCAACACACTCATCATTCAGTTTTCCCTGGAAGGTCTTGAAGAATGAGCTGTCCTGTGTTCTGTTTTTAGAAGAGATCTCTGTGGCTGTGCTGTCTACGCTCAGCCACATGCCTCCCTTCCTGGCACCGGCTGTGACACAAATGCCATTGTTAATCATGGAGAATACTTTATGTGCTTTATGTGGGTTATTATCTAGGGGAGTATCATGGAATTTTTTTTTTTTAGAGCAAAGACCAAATTCATAATGGAAGTAGCCTTGGGTTATTATTGTTGGCAATTTTGATCCCTGTGCATTTAGGTTGAAGACGTTTCTCAGTCAAACACTGCTTGGAATTTGGTTGCACTTAATAATAGCTCATGAGAAATTCATGAGGCCTGGTAATGCTTTACTTTAACCTTTAGAAGAGAAGGAAAAAAATGACCAGCTATGGGAAAAAGTTGTCCGGTGAACGAGCAGTCTCCAATTTGCATGGTTGAGTTCTAGACGTTTCTCTGTTGGTTGAATGCAACTGAGAACAACACATTGTATGTATTTATGGTGTACAAGGTGATGTTTGGATCTATGTATACATTGTGAGATGATTGCATCAAGCTAATTAACATGTCTATCACCTCACAATTAGAACTTCATTGTGGTGAGAACATTTAAGATCGACTCTCTTAGCACCTTAGCAATTTTCAAATATAGAATACATTATTAACAACTGTCATCACCATGCTGTAAAATAGATCGTCAGAACTTATTTATTCTGTCTGACTGAAACTTTATACCCTTTGACCAACTTCTATTTCAATCCTATCCCCTGGCCACCACCATTCTACCTCTGCTTTTATGAGTTCTGCATTATTATGAAATGTCTGATTTTGAATCAAAAGTGTAGTTTATTATGTCTCAAACAAAAAGCAGTACAATTAAAGTATGTGCCTAAGGTATCAACAAAGTTTTGCCATCTTAACAATAACTTGTTTATGCCAGCAGTGAAGAAGCCTGGATAGCGAGTGGCAATGAAATTGCTAAAGGTGTTTTCCACAGCTTGTTTAGAATTGAATTATTTTTCCTTGCAAGAAGTGATCCAGGAAGAAGTGGTAGTCAGTTGGTGCAAGGTCTGGTGAATACAGTGGATGACGGAGAGTTTCCAAGTCCAGCCCTGTAGTTTGGGCAGTGTTGTTTTTTGCCACATGTGGTCTTGTAAGAGGATTGGCCTGCCTCTGTTGACCAATCATCGTTTCATCCAGTTGGTTGCAGGAGACTTCCACTGCAATCAACTGACCAGATTTCACGAAGCTGTAGTGGATAATACCAGCACTGAACCACCAAACACGCACCATTAGTTTTTTTTGTGTTTTTTTTTTTTATGAATTTTCAGTTTTGGACTGTGTTTTGGCTCTTTATCTTCATCCGATCATTGTGCTGAATGCTTGCGATCGTCAGAAAGAATTCATTTTTCATCACATGTTACAATACAGTGTAGAAATGGTTCGCCTTTATGTCATGACTTCAAAGAAAAGCAACTTTCAAGACAATTTCTCTTTTGATGCTCTTTTAATTCATGTAGAACCCATCTATCCAGCTTCTTTACCTCGCCCATTTGTTTCAAATGGTCCCGTATTATTGAAATAGTAACAGCAAACTTTGCTGCTAATTAACGAGTAGGTTGAGATGGATTCGCTTCCACTACAGCTTTCAGCTCATCATTATCCACCTTGGTCTCAGGTCACCCACGTGGCTCATTTTCAAGATTAAAATCACCAGAATGGAACTTCTCCAGCTATCAATGTACTGTGCGTTCATTAGCCACATCCTTCCCAAGTGCTTCATTGATATTTTGAGCTGTCTGTGCTGCATTGGTTCTACGATGGAACTCACATTCGAAAATAACAAGGATTTTTTACTTATCCATGGTTTCAAAAAAGTGCTCTAAAAATTTTTTTAAAGATAGTCACAAGCCAAAATGTGCATTTGCAAGACTGAGGATGTACCTTCAGAATAAAAATAAAACAAGAAGTGTCAAAGTGAAATGTCAGAGATATGAACTGTCAAACTTAGTACTTAAGGAAATCAGACAATTCATACTTAATAACCTCATAGTTCCACATACGAAAGTGAGATCAGGCAGTATTTGTTTTTCTGTACCTGGCTTATTTCATTTAGTATAATGTCCACTGGATTCAGCCATGTTGTTGCTAATGGTAGAATGTCTTTCTATTTTAAGACTGAATAGTATTCCATTGTGTACATATACCACATTTGCTTTATCTTTTTTCTATTGATAGACATGTCAGTCAAATCCATATCTTGGCTGCTGTGAATAATGCTGCTATGAGCATGGGAGTGTAGACATATCTTTGACATACTGATTTTATTTCCTTTGGATATATACATAGAGTACAACTGCTGGATCATATAGTAGTTCTATTTTTAACTTTTTGAGGAACCTCCATACTATTTTCCATAATAATGGCTATAACCAACTTTCTATATAAGGATGTTTTCAAAGAATATAATTAGAAGCATTATTAGAATATACAGTTGACTCTTGAACAATGCAAAGGTTAGGCACACAGATCCCTCCCCCATGCAGTTGGAAATCCACTTATAACTTTTGACCCCCCAAACTTAACTATTAATAGCCTACTACTGTTGACCAGAAACCTCACCCATAACATGAATAGTTGATTAACACATATTTCATATGTTGCTTGTATTATATACTATATTTTTACAATAATGTAAGCTAGAGAAAAAATGTTTTTAAGAAAATCATAAGGAAGAGAAAACATATTTACTACTCATTAAGTGGAGGTCTTCATCTTCATCATCTTTATGTTCAGTAGGCTGAAGAGGAGGAAAAGTGGGGGGCTGGTCTTGCTCTCTAAGGGTGGCAGATGTGGATGAGATGGGGGAGGTGGAAGGGGAGGCAGGAAAGGCAGGCACACTTGGGGTCACTTTTATTGAAAAGACTGCATTTAACTGGATCTCTGCAGTTCAAACCCATGTTGTTATTCAAGGGTCAACTACAGTTTTCCTACTCTGCGTGTTTTCTTTGCGGTAACCTGTATCAAGCCGGGCTTTCTCATTTCCACCAAAAGGCCTGTCTGTACAGAGGCTGCCAGGGTAAACAGTCCTAAGAAGCTGCCGCCTCTATTACTGAATATTTGTGGACTAAATTAATAAATGACATTTAGAAATAATTGTAAAGTGATTTACATCCTTACTACAGCCTTTTAAGAGAGCTCATGGGAGTTTCATTGATGACATGGAACAAAACTTCATTTAGAATCTTCTTTCTGAATCACAGCATGGTAGGTGACTCTGTGACTCTACTTGAAGCTTTCCTCAAAACTCTCCCAAAGTCTCCCTGCAGCTTACCTGTGCTGGTGCTTTTCTTTTTCTCACCTCCTTTTGTCTCTGGATTTGGTCTTTTCTCTTCCAGAATAGCTTCCTGCCCTTTACAATGGGAATTTTGAAAACCAGTCTCAGTGTCTTTCAATTTTCCACCTTCCTTTTTAATCTATAAGTTCTGAGATAGGTAGGTTGAGGGGAAATCATCATATAGTATGAGAATATTGAGAATTGATGAGCCCATTTATACATTGTCACTTCTTCCTGAATGAC